GACTGTAGCCAGGCTGACAGAGTCACAGCTCTGTTGAGCCATGCATTCCTATAGTTCTAAGTAGAAACAACTTCATGAGCTTCTTCATTGATAAAATTTGAATTGTTAGAGACTAAATTCATCATCTCCTCCACTACCAATTTATCTTCAAACTGAGGAACCTTAGGTGTCCACAGCTGTTAGCCGGGTTTTAGCTCTCTTGTTAAGAGACAACATACTGTAATCTTTTATTGTCACTGTCACAGACATGCCTCACCTTCTAGTATAAAGTCCACACTAAGACAAAAACTATAAGACTAAGGTCTCACACCTTTGTTCTTAAGGACTACATTAAATTAAAAACATACACCTGAATATCTTATTTGTTGCAGTCTCTAGGCAGGACATTTGATCAAACTAAACACAAGGGCATTTGTGTGTGTCAAGCGTCTTATTGAGTGCTTACCTATTAGGATTTGTTCTGTATTTTGTTATTTGTTATCTCTTTTGGGTGGATGTGGTGTGCTTGGTGTGTTTTGGTTTGATTGTCTGTCTGCTTGTTCTCTCTCACTCTCTCTCTCTCTCTGTCTGTGGTTGTGGGCGGTTCCCCTGAGCTCTTCTGGCTCCAGGAGCAATCTATACAAATGTGAGTCCTCTGTTATCAGCACACCAGGGCCCTGTTTCAGAAAGTAGGCTTAACAGACTAAGGGCTTATCCCTGAGCTCTGTGTTGATTGAGCCTGAAGTGGGAAACTCTGAGTTTTCATCATCAATGGAGCTCTGATACTACGATTCACCATGGCAACGGGTAAATAAAGAGCAGAGCCTCCATTTCAATCAGGTGGAGCTAGAAATATGTATGCGTGCCAACACGGACTATGATAGGCTATTTATATTAAAACGCAGGAGAGGAGGCAGGAGTCAGAAGTTAACATTTTTATATTTTATACAGCGTTGCTCATTCGTCATTTACAAGACTTGTACATTGATCAGCTTTATACAGATTAGTTTAAACAGTCACTGCAGTAATGTAGCCCACACTAAGAGTTTTCAGTGCAACTGTCCACAGACTCAGTGTTAGTTATAGTGTTATAGCCTACCTAAATAAGGACAGATTTTATTCTGTGCTGAGGATAAATCCACGATGTCCAGAGATAACTGTCTCTGTCCTTACATTGATGACAGATTGATCATAAAGCGGTCATGTTCAAGATCATGTTTGGGTATAAAACCAACAGCCTATCTAGCCAAGATTTAAATTTTTTGGAAGACATAAATTCGTTCCAATGTGTGCTTTGATATTGACAATATGAAATTAAACGGTGTGTCTGACAGCCGCTTCAGGCTTTGCAGGAGGGGAGGAGTTTGAGAAAAACTGACTGTTGTCCAACTTAGCCTGTAGGAGGGTAGGTTCACAGCATCAGTTGCCACAGCAGCACAGCATCAGTAATGGGATTTTACAATCGAAAATATACACTTTGGATAGATTCCAGTTTTTTAAAATTCATATTTTTAAATTTCAAAAGTTTTATGCCAATATAAATAAGTATTTCCCCACTAAAACTGTATTCATTGCAGGGTGGTGAGTGACTTGAAGCAGCATTTTGACCATTAACCTACAGAGAATAAGGTGTTACTGAACAAAAAAACTGATTTAATAAAATGTAAAAATCCAAATTACAATTATAAATGTGTAGTTCATAATGTATGGTGTCTGGTCAACATTTTTCTGGGGTTGGGGTGAAAGGTTGGACTCATGACTTCAGTATTTCTTGGCTACGGCCTTGACTGGACTGCTGCTTACTGTTACTGACTGAAGTGACCACTGCAGACACAAGTCAACGTTTTCCCTGTTGCTCCTCCTGTGTGGTTGAGTGAGTCACCCAAACCACTGGGCTAGCATGCCACCTAAACTACAGCAAATCTCAACAGTGATGACCCACAAAAGCATACCTTAATATTTGAGAAAGTCTGCATGTTTAAATCTTGTAGATTGAAATGTTACCTTAAAATACAGAGAATTAACATTATTTGCAGCCTAAAAGTGTACAGATTTTTCCCTTTTTACCTTGCAACGATGTATATTGATTTTGCTTTTCACCTGAATATTTTTACCTGGATGTGTACACACTTGATCCCTCTTCTGGTATTTATTATTTCATCATCAAATTCAAAGAATCTGCAATAAAGTAGTAGTATGACCATGTTATTAAGGTTTATAGGAACATATTTGACAAATTTTAGTCCACTCAAATAACATGAAAAAAGTTTATAGTTACTTAATATCAAATTATTTACTGGAGCACAGAACCAAATAACCAAAATAATGCCAAAGTCCAGAAACACCTGGATCTAACTGTAGATGTATACTCTCACTCCTGTAATCTCAACCTCATGAACACTTTTGGGAAACATTGGCTTTCCATGTATATTATAATTATGCTTGTAATGTATTAACCTTAATATTGTTTCATATTTCTTCTCACTGTTCTTTCCAGTGGCACCAGGCTTGAGTCTCCTCAAGACCTGGTCTCATCTGGGGCCTATGACATGGTCTTCTGACATGCCCTCACCAAAAACAACCTCACTTACCCACTTCCTGTATAATAAAGGGTTTTGTTGAATGCAGTTGGTTGCCTTATATATTTTGCACTATTGACCAAACTTCCTTCTCAACTTAAACTGAGCATTTTCAGTTATTTATCGATATTCACTTGTTGGGGATGTTTATGTGAATGTGTCTTAACACAACAGTACATTACAACATATTTAATTATGATCATTGAAGCATGCACACATACTGTAAATGTACTCTACTTTATGGGAGCAATCCCCCTTCCCTTCAAAATTAAACTTAACAAAAAAAACTGATTCAGTTCAAAGGGCTTCACTGGTATGAAAGTTTTTAAAGCATCATGATACAATTAGTCATTTTTTGGTCTCTCTCTGGCTCTCTCTCGAATATCAGTTAACATTAACACAAAATTTGATTGATATACAGTATACTAATTATATACAGTATATTCTGGACACAGTACATTCTATGCATGTATTTGTGTGTGTTCTGAGGTATAGTTTAGCCTATGTTTAGGGAGGGGGTAATGTTACCATTACCATAACTAGCCATTTTAAAATAAATTACCATTTAACAGTAATGTTAAGGATTATATTTAGGAACAGAGTAATTCACTCAGCTGCCTAAAGATCTTTCCAGTTACATTTCAACAGATAACACTGTTAATGCTGTCTCTCCATCCCTCCACAGAAAAAATTCACTTCTGTAAGTACAGTTAACATAGTAATCAATGCACATTATACAAAAATTGCTGCAAATATAGTCTGCTGTTAATGTGTTGTAACGTTACACCTCTTCCCTCCAAAAAACTGCTGTGCTGATAAGGGAATGTGGCCCAGGCTAGAAATTGACGTATTGATGTTAAACTCACAGGTGCTAGTATAAACAATGATCCCTTCATTATTGGGCAACATAGCATGATTGGTGAAGTAAACACTTTTCCTGTAAGGCCATTCTGGTTTTGCTTCCTGAATGTAGATACTCACTTGTGCAAAAGTTAGTAAAAGTGTAATTTTCTGCAGCTGTATTCAGAGCTAATTGTTCTCTACTCCTTCCCAGATGAGCTCAGTCAACCATGACTTCAAAATACAACAACTCTCAGTTTTTTTCATTTCATTTTATAGGTTTGAATAGTGGGCTACCACTTTTTAATAGGACAACCTTTATAGTCAATTCAATCCAATTTTATTTAAATAGCCCAATATTACAAATCACTAATTTGCTTTAAGGGTTTTACAATCTGTCCAGCACATGACACCTGCTATCCTTAGACCCTCCTTATAAAGACTTTGTAATGGCTTCATTAATGGTTCTTAAACCATTTAATTAATGCTGAGTAGCTCAGTCCTAAGCCATTAATAAGATAACATTTAAGGTTGCCAGGTTGTGAAATATCTGTTTGACTGGTCCACCTGATGAACTTAACAACTGAAAAAAGTTTTGACAACCTGGCATGCAAAGGTTTTGCTTATTATTTATGAATGGTGTATTACATAATAATTAATAAAGCCATGTCACTTTTTAAATCTGGTGAAACACAAAAGAAATTAAAGGCCACCTCATTTGACTAAATGGAAATATTCAATAAAAAACTCCATGCCCCTGCTCTGCTGTGGGCTTTCCATTCTGAGCTCAGCAGTCTGGAGCGACACATGCGGTTGTGGTGGAGGTTGCTGTGATCTGGCTCTGGTCTATGTAATAATGCGGTAATATCCCTCCATCATGCATGCTCTGAGTCATCCAGATACCCTCCACAGTCCATCGCAGGCCGTGCTGATGATTAACAGGGCCGGACACATTTTGTGCCCTAAGCAAGCTTCACCCATGGCCCCCCACGCCCCAAATTCACATTTATTTATTCCTGAGCAGTTCTACAGGAAAAGTAGGCTACTGCACACTTATTTTTAACAAGCAAGAACAAGAGCTAAATAACAAATCAAAACAAATTTAGGCATGTTTTTTATGTCAAAATAAAAAAATCTTCTGGGCACAGTTTTGACAGATGAATATGAGCACTGAACTTATCTAATTTTCACATCACATTATTTACATTCCTTGATGGTAGGCTAGTTTGTATTGGTTTTTCCGGAGGGAGGTCAGTAGGCTGCCCTGCTAATGAGTGCCCACGGCCAGCGGCAGGAGCCCAGGTAGCTATAATCTGCTACCTGTTGCGAGGATCTCCATCAAGTCAGAGGGATACAGCACAGACAGCTCCGGTTAAAACTCAACATTCAAAGTAAAATTTTAAGTGAAAGACAGCTCTGTGTTCTTATGGTGATGCAACATGCAAAGAACTGAGAAGGCAGATGTGGGAGGGACTTTTTTACTCAAGTAAAGTCAATGGTTAAAAAGGAAAAGTGTATGTGTGTGTGTGTGTGTCAGAGAGAGGGAGGGAGAGAGGGAGGGGGCGCTTTTATTTTGAAATCATGCTGTATTTGTGTGCTTGTCTGCGTCTTGAATTTCACTGGAAGGAGCTGCAGGTCACACTGTTGCGCACTTAGCAGCACGCACAGACAGAGCACACCACAGCTCCGCTGCTGGACGATACCACTATTGGACTTCCATTACTGACACGTAGGCTATAGGCGATTGTATGATTGGCTGCCCATCTACTAATTTAAGAAGGGCTCATTACAACGTGCCACTCCTGAGCGGACACAGCCTTAACGCATCAAGGTGCGTGTGTACCTGTGTGTGAGTGTGTGTGTTTGTGTGTTGGTGTGACTGAGTGCGCTCTTGTATGTAGATTTTAAGTTGTCAAACTCTCCTCTAGATTTACAGGTGTGCTCCGGTGTGTATGTGTGTGTTTGTCTCTGCATGTGCCTGTACCAGGAGCCTTCAGTTGTCCCGGCAAAGCCTACTTTCACTTTCGTCAGGTGCGTAAGTTATTTGCTTAAGCAGCGCTTTTCTTCTGGCAGAGGAACAATATGGTCCTGCTCATGAAGTTTGCGAGGCAAATAAATTCTGTGGCTCAGCCTGCATGGAATAAGGCAGTCAGTAACATCCCAACATCTGCAGCAGCTGTCATAGCTCATGAACAATCAAGACCTTATTGATCCCAGAGGGGGAACTTCCTCAGCAACCGTTCAGATAGACATCTGACTATTTCAACATTACAAATCAGTGCATGAGTTATAGAGTTCAGGTTAAACAGTTAAGAAGTAGTCAGGCTACTTCTTCAACTTACTGAGACAAGCAGGGCGGCACTGGCGGTGTAGGAACCCTAGGCGAGATTTTAAATCAGGGGTTGGGGATTTTAAATCAGGGGGTTGTGTGGCAACCCAGAGACTGTTTTTGCATTATAGGGTAATTTTCTATATATAATACTAGAGCACTGGTTTAGTGTTTCAATGGTGGAGGGGAGTCAAATGAAGAGGAGGGTGTGGGGGTCCCCAGGACTTAATTTCCTGCATTCTGGTGAAAATTTCTGCACCAGTGTCTGCCTTTTCTGCCTCAATTTATGGTGGAATTTTTTACATTAATTTATGTAAAGGGAAACACAAAAATTCACAAAATTCAGGCAGCAGGTGACAAACCAAAATATAAAAAATGTATAGAATATAATGCTGTAAGGCTCTCAGGCATTCTGTAGCTGTTGCTTTTAAACCATGACTATGTTCCTGCTATAGATCAACTTGATTTAATAAAATTACTATCACTACGCCCGTGTTGCAGCAGCTGAGAAGAGTTGATTCGCGGCAAGTTGAAAGCCTTCTCTTGAAGTGCCCCCTCACATTTTGTACCCTAGGCAACCGCCTGTGTCGCCTATGCCATGGGCAGGCCCTGGAGACAAGACTGTTAAGTGCAACATGTGAGGGATGAAAAATATTGTGATGTGTAAATCTACTGAAAGCAATATAAAAACTTGAGAGAGCAACACGGTCAGTGTAACTGAGGTTATATTTTCCTCCCAGAAGAGTAGATTATTATTTCTGGCAGGCGTGGTGAGAGAAGTTCATGCAGCCACAGGCGGTACACGCTCATGGTTGCTCATTTGACCCGAGCTTCAGTTTTTAAATGCAGTTGAATGAACATTTATTTTGGCCAGACTATATAAATGCAGCAGCTATTTTTGCTTTATCATTGCACTATGGACTGTGAACATTGCTCATTCAACCTGCATGACCTCTGTTGCAGGTTTTGCAGGGCAACAGCCTCGGTTAGTGCAAAATTAGACAGCCTGCCTATAAAGGCATATAGGTATAAAGGTCTTCTGCTACTCACAGCTAATGAAGCTCTTTTGGCCTTAGGCCATTGAAATATATACAGTGGTGAAGGACGTATTCATTTCAGAAGGCTATTTAAGTAAAAGTACTCATAGCACACACACTGTATCTCCACTACAAGTAAAAGTATATTATCAGCAAAAGGTTCTTAAAGTATCAAAGTAAAAGTACTCATTCTGCAAAAAAAAGTTCATGTCAGTGTTTTACTATTGTATCTGATATTTCCTGATTAATATTACTGCTGCATTAATGTATGTTGCATTTTATGGCTGTAGATGTTTAAGGTTGAGATAATTTAACTACTTTATATACTGTTGGGTAGTTGAATCTACCGCAATGCGTCATATTCTGTAAGATAATCAAATGTTTGTAGCGTTGTGTCCTGTGAGAACCTCGTATCCCTAAACAGCCCTGTTTTCATCTTTGTGACAATGCATTTTCCAGCTGATGCTAGGAGGTTGTTTATTTAGCTTAAGGAGTAGGACAATTGTTTCAACTGAGAAAGGAACACGTCATCCTTCAGTATTCTAAAAAGATTCACCAATTGGGTGATACATGGTTTTAACTGGACAGTAAGGGTATGAAGTAGACAAATGTAGTAAAAAGTAAATATCTGCATCTGAGATGTAGTGGAGTAGGTATAAAATAACATAAAATGGTAATACTCAGTGAAGTAGAAGAACCTTGCCAAAAGAGTAGAAAGGGAACAGAGGAGGGTTAGTGAAAAGAAGAGGAAAGCTGTGGTGAGTCAGCCCCAAGCAATGTGTGTGTATGTGTGTGTGCTGCTTTCCTTCTATCATTGTGAGGACCGGTCTGAGGTTTGGACCTCCACTGGTGACTCACTTTTTGTGAGGACATTTTGACCCAGTCTCACATCATCCCAGGCTGTTTGAGGGGCAGGACTGTTTGGTTTTAGGGTTAGAAGTAGGATGAGGTTTAGACATGCAATGCTGATGGAGAAGGTCTAGATTAGAGTGAATGTATGTTTAAGGAATGTGGACCGTTGGGGGCTCTCACGAGCACAGCAATACTAAATAAACAAACAAACAAGTAGATAAAAAGGATGATGGAAGGCCTATATAATCTGGTATATATAGTATATTCCAATATATTCATTCTGTAGGCCTATGGTCATGTAGTATGTCTTTTGAAATGGAAGAAACCGCAGACCCTGTAATTTTCTGAGTGAATACTGAGGGCAGGTCAGAGATGCAGCTTTTATGCCTCATTGCCTGTGAGAGCGTAAAGGTTTCAGCACAAGAGCTAACATGTTGTAGGGTTCCCGTGTCCTATTTACACAGTTTTGTAGTATGGGCAGCAGCTTGTAAACATCTCTTGCTGAATGATATACGCTCAGCAATTTAAAGGCTAGAAGGATATGACTAACCAATGTGCTACCAACTACAGCATAAAAACCCAGGCTGCAGATGTGTGACATAAGCAGTGCAAAGAGATATACACTCAGCTCTAGTGACACCTAGAGTGGGGGACAATATTGCCATTAAAGTGGATAATGTGCATTGTTTGTCCATACAACATAATATCGGAAAGGTATCGTTCATACAGTATTTACTCAGAGATACTTCATGTATCCATACTAATGTCTCAAAGTCAAGTCATTCAAAAGAAAGTAATTTTTAGGCTAGTTACTGAGTATGTTAGGAAAAAGTCCAGATTGTGACTTGCCCATGAGTCATGGGAGTCTTTCATTGAAAACTTCCTCTACTGCGTCATGAGGTGATCACACTAGTGACCATGTTACAGTTTTTCATTTCTGTTGCCTGTCTACATGCAGCATGCTGCAATTACAACTTACGTACGTTTTGTCTATTTTTGCTGACAGTGAAACCAACAGTTTCAGGGATCAGTTATTTGTTGATCTCAGTAGCAACAAGTTGTCTGCCTGCCGCAATGACTGCACCACTGGTGGCACATTCAACCAGCCAGGAAGTCATTGACTTAGTCAGCTGGCTACTCACTGAGGTGTGACGTGCAGCTGTGGGGTGCTGGAATAAATTTGGAAAAAGCCAGATGTAGAGGGAGAGAGAGATGAGGATGCAGATAATGAATTGAAGAAGGAAAAACAGAAATAAAAGAGTAAGGGAGGGAAGGAGAGAAGGAAGTAATAACTCATAATTAAGATAGTTTATTGTCTAGATAAATAGAGCATATACTGTAAATATTAAGTAAATACTGAGAAATGTTCAAATTCAGTCAGCTATGAGAATATTATTGACATGTTATCAGTTTGTTGTACACATAACAAACATACATTTTCTGTCCTAAAATAGACGCTTCTTTTGTTTTGAGCGTGACAAATCAGTGACATTCAGCAGTGATTATACAGCTTAGCGTGTGTGTTTCCACCAAAACATCAGAAGCATTCCTGAGCTTTGCTGGAGTTTACTTGAAATTGGAACATTTTATTGATGAGACACAGAAAGCAGGCGATGGGTGTGCTGATCTGAGAGTCTCTGACTCAAATAGGGAATGCCTCTGCTTTTCCCTGAGATGTTTCTAATATTGTGCCTCGCGGGGTTAGAAAAGTATTAGAAACACCTTCAAATATAATGCACTCCAGTATACACCGCACGCCACAGCCTCTAAAAGGATCACAGAGTTGACTCAGCACCTCTCTGATAGCGTAAAATATTTAAACTTGCATTTTATCGCGATCGTCTATCTTGTTGCTTGTTGTGAAGTTGCACTGAGCTCAAGAGTTGCATCTAAAATGACCTCATAGTTCGTTAGAAGGTGCAAGATTTTCTATGCGCCGAATGTGAGAAGACAAACAAATTGTATATATTAGGGGCATGTCTACCACCAAGATTGTTCTCAAAGATAGGTCCGTGTTGAACATGTGCCACTGCAGCTTTTGATGCCACAGGTTCAGTGATCCTTCTGACTCAAGTATGAAGTACATTTTTGTTTTATATCACATTCCCATTAGTTATGGCAGGGTGTATAATTGTAAATCTATTTTTCTTTAAATCCTAAAATCAACTGTATTTCTCTCTGGATGAAATTTATGTTTTAGCTGTTCAGCAGTCATCCCTATCTCAGACATTATCAAAAGACACAGTTAAAGACAGGTTGTTGACAGACCCACTAAAGTGGGAGATTGCCTCACTAGGAAGTAACGATCTCACACAAGTTTAAAAATCTACTTCATCAAAATGCAGTTTTTTAACAATGCAAAACAAAATCTGTCACAATTAACAGAGTACATATCAGTACTGACAAACATTAGAACTGGTGTACAACTACCTGAAGAAGTTACACACTGAAGTGGTTCAGTGTATAAATGCAGAGACCTGCAGTAAAGCAGAAGTCCTTTCCCCCAGCTCATGCAGGACAACGAGTGCAGCCTCAGCACTGTTTGTCAGATCTTTATCCGTACACAGCAACTGTCATACTACAGCAGGAACTGTGTGTTTTACATGTATTAGACAATGTTAAACCTGATAACCTGTGCTTTCATTATGAGACTGATGCACTGTAACAATTTAATAAACCGTTTTTAGCAATACAATTAAGATGTGAGAAGTGACGTGTAGTTATGTGTAACCCCAACCCATATTAAAATGACTTCAGTCAGTTCTATGCAGTGAAGGTATACAGAGTTCAGCTATTGGAAATTCTATCAAATTTCCTATAGCATCAGATTGATGCATCACGTTTTGTCATGTACAATATTAGCTGTTGTGTAGAGATACAGGCCTTACATACAGAGCCGAGCTGCTATGAGCACCTCTTTATGTCCATAGGTCAGCTCATCTATTACAGGATTTAAAAAAATCTTAATTGTCATATTTTCTTTGATAATATTTATTCTGTGGTGTAATAAAGTACAAATAAATATCTTTTTTTTTTTTACGAGGAAATACGAGAAAATATGTGGATGTTTTTTGAAGCATTTTCAGGCTCGGACCTGGTCTCTGTTTGTCAGTGGGGTTGACTTCCAGTTTTTCTCCCCACATCTGTTTTTTGTATGCCTATTTTCCTTTTTGGCTCGCTGACTGGTTTTGCGTCTTGTTTTCAGACTTGTCAACAGCAGGAAGCAACAGAAGTACACGAGCCATTAAAACCAGGATCTGCTACTGCCAGCATGTGTCAGAGATGTTCAACAATGCAGTGAAGAAGCCCGACAATCCATGTGCTGAACACTGAAGAGTTGCAGACACCAGCGTTGGAGGAGTGTGAGTCTGTGTATGTGTGCTTATACACTTTGCTGAGTTTTAAGCACTGTGGAGCTGAGGACCCAAGAGTATGGTTCAACTGTCCACATCAGTCGGCCTGCTGGGAGGCCTTTTGGGTAAGAAACATCTGTGTTTATATGTGTGTGCAGTGGCCATTGTCGTTCTAATTGGTGCTGAGCAAGTTTTTGTTTGCGTAAAAGATGGAATTGTATATGCGTGTGTGTGTACATAATTTGCACAAGGGGAGAGTGTATCTGTAAGGCAAGTACAAAGCAGGATTTGCTTCAAAACTGAAAGTTATTCAGATTCATAGATGACACTTAGCGCTACTACAATACCAGTAGTAGTGACACCCTAATGCAGCTTCATTGCAGTTCAAGAGTAACATACTTTATATTGGAATACTGTCAATAGCACTAGTTCTCTCCTGATGAGGTCATGTTTTGTGGTCTCACATTGCAATAAAAACAACTACTTAAATAGTTTGTTTATTGGATTAGAAAGTTTTTTATTGAGACGCTGAAACTAAAAGTAAAATTATGGTTTGTGTAATCTCAGTCCAAAGCGTTGGATGGAGAGTACACAAACCAGAATTTGACTTTTCGTTTTTCAAATACACATTGCATTATTTTTTAAGAAAACGAAAATCTACATGCTTTTTCTAGTTTCATCTTCAAATCAGCAATTGGGATAGAAGTTAAACCAAAACAAGAAAACAACTTGTTTTTCACTTACATAGTTATATCTACAGTATATTAGCTGCCCCTACTGCGTCTCTACAAAAACACTGTAATTGGGTATATTTGCTGTAGGATAGACAGTTAGACAGATAGATGTCCGGATTTAAGGGCGTGCCCTGACAATCAAAGTATTTTTTTAATGGAACAATGTTTAATATTAAGTAGCTTTATATGTTAAAAGACTACCAAGAAATTATGTGCATATTTACTGTATATTTTAATGACAACGCTTGAAATCTGGTTCAGTGAATATGAATGAATTGTGACCCGATAATACAGCCTATTAAAAAAATGGCAAAGTATGCTAAAGTAGTGTAGTCTCACCCCACTATTAAACCTTACAATTCACACACATCCAAGGAAGGTTCGAATCCAAGGCTACTGGACTTTGTTCAAGACGTTTCGTCCCTCACCCGAGAGACTTCTTCAGTTCTGACTGGTAGAAAAGTTTAACCTCTGTGGGGTCGTTGTCAAAATGATCAATACCACTGGTTTGTTAGTGCTCCTGTATGATGTAACGACAGTCGTTATGGTCATTGGAGCCACATGAGGCCAAAAGTGAACATTTGTTTCCTGGGAAGTGATGAAAGACAGCATTGTAAATGGGAGATAATTGGTGGCATAGACCAACTCCCCCGTTAAGCGACGGCTTCTCAACCTGGATGTAAATGTCTTCCTTGGCAACTCCTTCAAACCATCCATCCTCTCTGTCTATGACCTAGATGACTGAGAACCTTTACAGACAATTCAGTTAGTGATTGAATCCATGCCAATGCTCCAGGATCCCTGCTCCCATTAAACATGTAAGGCTTGACTAGACTTTAATTATCCCCATAGTCTCACGTGACTCATCAATGCAGGTGTGTTCACATACCATGACCTGACGAAAGCCATGTACAGTCAGATAGCTGGGATTTAATCATTGTGAAACCCTGTCATGGGTAGAAAAACATCCACATTCAATCCTTTTTTGTTTTTTCTGAAGTTCAGTGGGGTCTTAACCTATTTGTCACAGTGCCTGGTGGATGTTTGCCTGACCACGATTGATGCAAGACCCAAACACACCCACGACATTCCTCCTTCCTCTTTGTGAGAAAAATTAGGTTTGAACCGTGAAGAAATTAATCACACCATTTCATTTAAATTAAACTCTACATCACCCTAGTTTTGACAGTGTATATTTTTGCAGGCTAACAGGTAATTAACAGCCTTAAGTAGTCTGTCACTCAGTTATTGGAGAATAAACACTGCTGAAACACATGACGATATGGGCATATCAGTATTGTTTTAAGATGTATGTGAAAAAATGTGAACCTATTCTTTCTAATAATGCCAGTAAGGCAGTGTTTCTATTTTATTCACATTTCCTATGAGGTATAATGTCTTTTCATTCAGCAGAGTGAATCCCTGCTGCCACATGCAAGCAGCAGCGATGTGTGTCTGTTCCATTTGCAGTTCCTAGTTTGAGGGTGTCAGGCAGTGTCAAAGCACAATGCACTGTGCATGCTGTATCTGCTCTAGTAACTTGATTGTGTCTAGCATCAATAGCAAGCTGTAGGACTCAGGAGTCCTACACCTCTATAGTAGTTTTAGTTTAAAATGATTTTTTGTTTCCACAGTTTCCCCTTAATAGTTTCTTACCACATTTTTTGTGCAAGGTCTGTTGCAATCTGGACAGTGGCTGAAACAGACCATTTAACAGCAGTTTATTTCATTGTTGCATGTAAACGGATAATGTCTGTAAAGAGTCTCAGTCACCCAGGTCATAGTTATCTAAGGAGGGTTGAATCAAAGGGCAACTCATAGACAATGTTTACAACAGCTACAGAAGGAAAAAAACATCACCCAAGAATAATATCACTTTTATAATTTAATAATTCACTTTGTATCCTGGAAAAGCTATCCCATGAATATATGGATTACCCAAGATTCAAAAAGAAGGCGATCTCATCCAAAACGACTTACAATTTGAGGAACAACATACACACATCAACTCAGTTACCTACAGCATTGCAAAACATAAAGTATATCACTGTCTTAGCCCCTTAAATGGTAACACCTCACTGTATCTAAAACTCCATGGATTCTGTGTAAAAGGTTTGGGGACTGAAACTGGACCTAGATGAAACCATAATGTCCTAAGATGTGACCTCCTTATTCACATGTATCTTCACCATAGAGGCAGTGGAAACTGTAAAGACACGACTGCTACAAGACAACAACCTGAACAACAGAATTAACCTCAGCCCAGATTTGGAAACTCTCTGAGCCCACCTATTTTCAGTACAACAGTGGATTTTACAGACTTCTGCACAGACCTGTATTTTGTGGAAACTAAACAACCAGTACACAAACACATGGTCAAGCAGTTTACCTGCACTTTAAGAATAAGGGACACAACTTTGAGGACAACAATGTTCATATATTGGATATGGAGAACAGATGGTTTCATCCTTTCATCCCTGCCCAGTAGATGTTAAAAACTCACATTTGGCCTCAAGTGACAATGCCAACGCATTGACGCTAACGACCAAAGCAATTGTCAGTGCAACAGCCGGGAACACTAACAAACCAAGTGGTGTTCATCACCTTGATAACGACCCCACGGAGGTTAAATGCCTGGGACTCCCTGAAGAACTGAAGAAGCCTCTTGGATGAGAGGCGAATCTTCAACTAAGTCCAGTTGCCCTTTGATTCAATCAATCCTTGGATAAACGTATATATTGATTTAATATTAATTAGTGTTTGGTTGTAAATTGGTCCCATTATGTGGCATCTGGTGGCACCCCTTGAGGTTGTGAAATATTATTTTCCTGTTTTCAGTCATTAGCAGAAAAACGTTGACATGCTTAATTTTGATTTTGATTTTGTCAGTCTTTTTTTGAGCAGCTTACCCTTATTGTTCACATTTATTTTTTGACAGTTTTTTTCTAAAACAATGGAAGTTCAACAGGGTCTTAACCCATTTGTCAAAGTGCTGATTGATGCTAGCCCCAAACACACCCACGACATTCCTCTAAAAATGAGACTTGAACTATGAAGAAACGAATCATGCAATTTCAGTTAAATTTGATTCTTTATTACCCCAGTTTTGATAGTGAATATGTTTGCAGGCTAGCACGTCAATAACAATCTTCGGTAGTAGGGATTGACTGATGTTTTTTTCCGGGCAGATACCGGTACCGATTATTAGTAACCAGTTAGACCGATGACCGATATGTGGGACCGATGTACATTTGCTGTAAAAGTTTTAATCCAGGTGTCAAAATTTTTAATAACACAAACTCCAACACAAAACTTTGTTGAAATAACAAGATTAAAGTTAATTGTTATGTTTAATATTTATAAATAGTAAATAAAATTAAGTAGAGATCCATCACAAAGATGGACTTGTTAACTATCAGTTATAAATTATCATAAACTTTTTCTTTACCTGCTGCCATTTATATTTGTATTTATTGTTAGGATTTTATTGATACATTTATTGATACTATTTATTGGTTCTGTTCTTTATCTATACTCTTATTAGTTTTACATTACTAAATAATTGCTTTTTTAAAATATGTCATGTAAAAGAGAATAAATTCAGAACAGTAATAAAATTTAATATTTTATTATAGCTAACTGTTTTCAGAGCAACAACAAAAGTAAAATTTACAGCAGCAAAGTAACAATTTACAATCAATATCTCACTGGAAACAAATGGAGCATGTAAGATAAACTATATTCCTGGCATCAAAATACTGTAAAGTTTAGACAGAAGAGCACAGACATCAGTATCAGTCCGCCCTCATGTCCTCCTCCCTCTTCTGCTGCTGGTAGAGAGGAGCTGGTTTGACTCAACAAGCAGCTGAGTTTGCAAGGAGTTGCTAAATTTTAAGGTACGTAGCATCTCAGCTAAACAGGCTACAGACAGAGAGGTTTAGCTTGTTTATAACTAATAGCCGAGCTAGCACATGTGCTTGTGTAAAACCAACACACTGCTGCGGTGGATGAAACAGAGCGGATTAAAATATCGCTTGCTGCAGGTTCCTACATGTTGTACTGATGCAGTATCAGCCTTTTACTGGTACTGCTGGTTTTGCTGCACTTGCTTACAGTTACTTACTTACTTAGTTATGGTCAACTGGCGTAATCAACACTGATCTGCCCCGCTAGCTCAGCTTGGTGTGTGTATTTGCGTTCTGCTGAGACAGGGAGAGGAGGGGAAGGGCAGCAGCGTGATGGCTCGTGGCTACTTCTGCACAATGGTCAATGTTGATAGGCTATTACTTATGACTTGTAACCAATCAGCTAGTACTGTGAGCGGGACATTGCGCCCACAGTACTATTTTGAACCTACATGACCACATTCAGCTACTCTTCTTTAAAGTTGT